AGTGAGTATCCGTACTGTCTGCACTGAATTCCCTGAGGCTCGGCCTACCGTCTCGTATGCTGTGAGTGTCTATTTCGTCACCAATCATAGTCAGCCTACGGCGTCGGTGCATCGGCTGGTCAACACGAAGCAGGACTCGGCAGAGGGGAGCTCTTACCCTTGCCGAGAACTGTCGCGCCTTGCGCGGTTTCCGCGGACGAATGAGAAGCGGAAGCAGCCGATCGTTGACTCGCTCCGTCGAGGAGTAATGGCGTCGGCTTCCCCTTCGCATTCGCCGCAGTCAAGAGGGAGCTCGTCTTCCTACCTGGCGGTAGTGTCATACGGCTGCTAGTTCGCGAAGCAGGTACGTGCCGTGAACCCGCGTTGTTGATTGAAACGCAGAAGCTAGTCAACGGCGAGTGCTCCATTCCTGCTGGTCTGACATGACAGCAGGAGTCGCACCGATCGATTGTTCTCGTAAGGGTTCATGTTGATTTGTTGCTTCGTCGGTCTTCTCACATTGCTCAGCCTCTGCCGCTCCTCTCGGTAAGGGTAGATGCCATCCAAGGATCATCGTCGTGTGTGGGGAATTCTCTGGCCTCCCAGCGCGGTGCGATGACTCTCGTTTGATGTACATATTCACGAATATCCTGCAGGAAAGTACCGCGTCTGGCGCGTCCGAGGTCTAGAAGACTACCCAGACGTCAGTGATGGAAGCTGGACGGCGGGTGCCGCTCGCTGCTTTCTCCCGCGGGAGAAGGCACCCGCCACTCCGCGTCCCTGCTTTGCGCCGTTGACTGAAACATCGAAGCGCGTCGGCCATTCCTCTCCATTCCGACTACGCCGGGAGAAGCTGACCTCGGTGCTTCTGGTAAGGATCCTCTCGGGCTCCCTGTTGATGCTGATACGCAGCGCGAGACCTTCCCATGGGACGCCGTCGGCGGGGAGGGTGGCAGCATTGCCGGTCGGGGGGATGGATGGAAGTCGGGCCTTGCGAGGTATGTACGTCCACGGATTCACCCACCAGCCTTCCCCGCTCGTCGGGGGCGGAACGAGTCGATTCTTTCCGTCATCTCAGCGGCCGCAGGCTGCATGGTATGGCTTCGCCACCGTCCGCGGTGACGAGTCTCCTCACCAGTGCTACGGGTGTCGTTTTCTCGCAGCAGAAGTGCTAGACAGTCAAGCCGCCGAATGGCGAGTCGGAGTCTGTCGCCCCGTGCGTCCCGCGGTTGACAGACGCGGAGAAGCACGCGCGCTTCCCCGAGTCTGCCAACGCCTGGATTCCCCATCTCCCAGCCTCTCGTAAACGCTTCCAGGTCCCCGCGCGGCGCAATTTTCCAGCCGCTCGATGGCGAGCAGGGAGGGAGGGAGGGAAGGAAGACGGGGGCGAGTCCGGCGATCGCGTTGCATTCCATTCCGCTGCCGTCGTCTGGGGTCGGGGTTCGGGGTTTGTCAGTGCGGGGGTATATATGCTGCGAGTCGCCGTTGTGGCTTTCTCCATCCCTCCACCGCCTCCCCCTCCCCCTCCACAGACACCCGCTTACTCTTGCCCGCTCATCCGAGTCGTAATTACACGGTCGTCCCCGTGGGATGTGACGCGTCGCTCGTTGAGTATGTACCCTTGCACGCTGAAAGTGCCTGCTGACTGAATGATTGCGATGCACTGCCACGAACCTCCGCGTGTACTAGACTATGCTGGTAAGTTACGCAGCACATCCGCTGCTCTGCGCTGACGTGAGATATCTAGAGGATGCTTCCGCGTGTACACGGCCGCTTACTCCCGGTAGCGTGTCACGTCCACACAGTCTGCATTGACTGGTCACTAATATCATCCCCAGCAGGAATAATACAACAACAGCCGTTCAAACTGCGGATATCATCAGGTACCCGCACTCCGCATCCGTATGCTCACCGCTGACTGCCATCCTTAGGATCCTATAAATGGACCATGACTACACCGTACACCTTGGACCCGGCTCTGGGCACTTCCGACGCAGGGCACGCGGGGCTAGTCGGGAGCGTCGACGCTCTTCCCGCCCGACAAGCTAGTCGCGTACGTGCACGCCTCCCGCTACGACTCGTCACTGACGTATGCATTGCAGGGACACTAGCGCGATCGAACGTGCTGCTGGCGCTTTGAACATGGAGCTCGCGATTGAGCTCTATCCATAGGATCATAGTAAATACTCGAGGTTACATAGTGACATACATAGTATCATACACTAGCTCGCACCGTCCACGGGCTCTCGCGAGCCACCCGAGCTCGTCGCGTGCCCTGCGGACACGTCGTGCTGGCGACTCGGACGCGGCGATAGCGCGTCGCTCATGACCCCACACCCCGGCGTCGAGTATGGGCCCTCGCGGCGGGGTCCGGTCTGAGGCCATGCGCGGACGGCCAGCGATTCGATGGCAGTCCGAAACCCAGCCGAAGTTGAACCGGGGCTGTCACGGGAGAGGGTCCGCACCACGACGCGAGCGGATCGGCGCACACCCCTGAGCCTGGACCGACATACGGGACAACCGCCAAACATAGATGGCCACCGTGGCGAGCGCGCAGTGAGCGTCGCGGACGTAGAGTGGGGGGAGAGTCGACGAAGCCAACGCCGTCGGCGCGGAGACGATGCGCCGGTGCCCGATCAACCATGCTGGCGGCAACTCACTCTGGCTGTAAGGACGGTGCACGGCGTACGCAGCAATGTCGAGCCCGCTCGATGGGCTTCGCGTGGCGGAGGCTGTTGCATACATGCATGGGGCGCCGTGCAGCACGGGAACGGAGCGGTGGCGCGGCGGCGACGGCGATACGCGGACGTGTGGGTTGGCGGTGGTGTCGCAATATTGTCAGTAGATACAAGCAACGAAATATGACATGCCACGTACGATTGGACTCTGTCACACGCACGCAGCCCGATGTTTTGACCATGGCCCCGCCTCACGTCCCGCTGTCCCGCGATCCTGTTATTGTAGCTCGAGCGCGTGGCAGGCGTGCTTGACGTGGCTGATGCAGGGGGACGGACTTGCAGTAGACGAGCGGAAGAGAGCGGGCGTCGACGGGCCGGCGACTCGCAGTACATAGCACCGCCACCGTGCTTCCCGAGGCGCGATCGGCGCGCCTAGGAAGCGATGCTAGAGAGCGAGTGAGGAGCGGGCCTCGCAACAAGGCTCATTCACCGTCCCAGGCCCCTGCCGCTGAGGCTTCCTTCGATCTCCACAACTCGTTTAAATCCAGACCCTCGTCCGAGAATGAAAAGAAGTTTGCGCGGTTCTGTATGCGCGTTCTGACCACCGATCGTCGTTCTCCGAGCTTGTTTCCCTCTCCCCGGCTCGCATCGTCCCCCCACTCGTTCTTTCCCCCTACGCGCCATGTCGCTCTCGTCGCTTGCTGATGCGTTCGCCCCGTTCATTAGGGAGATCCAGTCGACCCGGTACGCGGAACGTAAGTCATAACATATCTCGACATAATCGGTAGCGTCCCGCTCACGTCACCCCAGTCGCGTCAAGCACTATCGTAATCTATGACCATTGTGAGTGACGCTATCCCTTTCGCAGAACACGACTCAAATATGTCCCCGCAGTGATCACATTGGACCAGGAGGTGAGCTACCCCTAGCTTGCCTCTCCGCGAGACTGACGGTGCATCTCAGATAGACCTAATATGGGTGCGCTCGCCTGCGTACCATCCACTCCCACGAGCTCAACTCCATCTCCCCGTCTTCAGAAGGCTTCATGGACACCCGGAAAAGTATTGTTCTTAACGGTACGCATACACACTGTTATCCCCTCGTCGCAAGGCGTTTCAACGTCCGCGCGTGCAGAACCGTTATTACGTTCTTGCAAGTGTAATGTGAGTGCTGCATCTATTCACTCGCCAGGCCCGGTTCCTGACGCATGCGGGTCCGTGTCGCAGATTCAACAACTACGGTACGCGTCTTCCCTGACTTGGACCGAAGGTTCCGCTGATATGCGGCTCCGGACCAGTTCTTTTCACCACACATCTCTCCGACTCGGTATGACATCATTCAATCTCGTGTCAAGCGTGTTCTAATCCGTGATGTGCAGTTGTACGTGCCTGAGTATCCAGGATTTCTCGTTCAATCGTTCTCACATGCATTCGCTGTCTCTGCACGGAAATAGCTGTATGTATTCGCACTCTTGGCGTAGACGCCCGTCTAACGTGGTGTGCAGGCGTTAAATGGTTTCGATGGCAAGGGACGACGGGCTTGCTGGTGTCCATGATCGCCGAAAGTACGCTTCTGGCCTCCCTCGCATACCCCCCCTAACTTCTCCCGCGCCAGTCATCCTCCAACTGCGATTATACGCGCTGTACCACCTCAACCGACGCGTGCTCGTGCTCATGTGCGGGGCGTTCCTGGTCTCAGCGGGCACAGCGGCCGTGATCATGGGCACGGTGCTCGCGCGTATATCAGGTGCGTCTCCTCCGCGCGTCCTCTCAGCGCCCCGTCCAACGCCGGCCAGCGCACTCGGGCCTGATTCCGGGCCTGCCGTTCTGCATCCCGGTGAACGTGCCCTCGTGGTTCTACACGTTCTGGATCCCGACGCTCGGCTTCGAGAGCCTGCTCTGCGCGCTCGCGTTGTTCCGCGCGTTCAAGGACTTTCGCAGCCGCACGAGCCTCTTCCAGAGCGGGCGGCACATCGTGAAGATATTGATCCGGGACTCGGTGATTTATTACCTCATGTGCGTGCGTTCTCTCCTGCTCGGAATCTGGCCTGACGGTGTTTAGTATGTTCGCGACGTACTTTACCAACCTCGTCATATTCCTCACTGGCAACGTGCGTCCCGCCTTCCGCCCTTCTCTGCTCACCACTAACACCCCCCAGGTCGGCGTGCTCGAGTCCGGGATCGGGTTTGCGGTGACGATGTCGTGCGTGATGGGCAGCCGGCTGTGCCTGAACATCCGCGACGTGCACCACGAGCTGGAGGTGTCGACCGCGTCGCAGCAGCAGCAGCAGCAGCAGCAGCACCTCACGCAGCCGTCGTTCGTGTCCGGCGGGCGGAGTGCGTACGGGACGGCGAGCCGCGGGACGAATATCGTGGTTTCGAGCACGTACGCGCTGACGGAGTTTGAGCTCGTGGAGCTGCGCAATTTGCGGGCGCAGGGGAAGGTGTAGGGTGGGTGGGTGTCGTTGTCCCTCGCTGCTGTATAATATTGTTCTGTCTCTCGTGTATACGTACTCCGGTTAGGGAAAATGTATTCAGAGCACGCGTGCATCAACACCATTCCCTTATGCGGCGCCGGAAAACATAGGGAGCCAATGAGGAGGGAGATGGCAGGGTTAGGGTGTTGAGGATGTTGCAAGTCCGACGCCGTTTTTCGTGGTTCGTTCGAGCATAGTCTCCCCCTCTGTGGGGTCTCGTGGATTTTGGAAAAAGGGGCTTGCCCTTGTGTATTTGTGCACCGTACAAGCGTGACTACTCTACTCTACGGATGGGTGTGGCACGGGCGTGACCTTACCTGCAGGTCGTCGCGAATGGGAGGTTGGCCTCGACGCACAAGTCCATGCAAGCGGCGTGACTTCCACTTGATACGCGGGTGCAACATCCCTGCCTGCTATTCTAGGATGTCCTTCACAAGTTGGTTAGACATGCGGATGGAACACACGGAAAAGCACTCACCAAGAATTTAGAGTGTCTCACTGGCTTATCTTGACCCGTAGTTAGTCCGCTATCAACCGCATCTTGATGGAACTGCCCACGAGTGACCGCGAAAGGTCCCAAGGCAGTCTTCGTGAGCGCGCATGGTCCATGAGCCTGGGAGAGCGGCCGACGGTCACCGCACCGCTTGAGTAAAATAGAAAGCCGGGTTAGACATGAGTGAGAGCAAGATGACAGAATAGCACTCACACCATGGTACCATCACTCGTCTCTCAAGCTCAACCCAGCCCGTGACATCGACTCAGGCTACCTTCCCTCTTGAATTGACAGAGCCCACGGGAGGACGCGGGAGACGGCCATAAACGGGGGCCTGATCACCGAGACAGGACGGTGACGAGAGCGTCGAGATCCAGCATCACGTCATTGAAGAGGGTAATCACCAGAAGACCAACACGGCATCGGCAGTGAGCGCGAGAACCCAAGGCATGGGCCATGGTCGATATTGAGATGAGCGAGACCCCGGCGATGGCTATGGCATTGGTGACGTGGACCACTGTACGGGACATGTAGAGGTCGATAGAGACTTTGCGATGGCGCAGAGACGGGGACATGCGAGCGGAGGACACTGTGCTCCAACACCGGTTGCGGGACGAAATTCTATACCCACAAAGTCGAACAGAGTGGCAATGCCAGATGCAGCGGGTGTGAAGACCGCGTTGACAACTGAGATGTTGGTGATGTGGGCGAGTGACGTAGAGGTCGTCAACAAGGACTTCACGGAGGGGGAGCAACGGGGACAGGCAGGCAGTGGATAGCATGCTCCAAGACCGGTCGCAGGACGAAATTCTATACCTACAACGTCGAACAGGGTGTCGACGTCTAGTCCAGCGGGTGAGGGGACTGCGGTGACAACAGACGTTGGTGATGTGGGAGAGTGACGTAGAGGTTGTCAACAGGGATTTCGCGAAGGGGGAGCCACAGGGACGGGCAGGTAGAGGATAGCGCGCTAGGAAGCCGGTCACGGGATGAAAGTCTATACCTACAACGTTGAACACGGTATCGACGGCAGGTGCGGTGGGTGTGGAGAGGCAGTAGCACGTCCAGTGGTGGTACGGCAGCGGCAAGAAAACTCCATCGTGACGTATGGCACGCAAAGCCATTGACAGCACCAATGATCAGGTCTGTCATTGACTTTGTTGTGTGCCATGCGTCGGACTTGCAGGTGGCATGGTCCCGCCGCTCGCCGGATGCAGTTCCATATATACATCATGAGATACGACGGGCACAGCGAGGAGAACCTGGCAGCTAGGACGGACACCGCTGGCCAGAAGACGATTCGTCCCTACTCGAAAGAGCAAGGCCGGGAGGACAGTGTCAGCGACATTGTTGCGAAACTTCTTCCCAGTCAAAGCTGCTCGCCAGGAG